AAACATTGCATTATTTAAAAAAGCCTTAAAAAGCACGAAATAACAATGTGAGGATATTAAAGAAGACAAGAGACAACTTTGATAGGTAAATTCCATTTGTCTTTTGCTTTTTAGTGTGAAGTTTCTTCGAAACTTCACAGTATTGTAATGACTGGGGGGAAATTCACACGAATCAGTCAGTCAGTCATTCATTCAGTCAGTCAGTCATTCATTCATTCAGTCAGTCATACAGTAAACTTTCCGGGGGGTGTATACGATATATGTTCGTAGTGATTTATCGTACTTAGTCAGTGCTTTGAAGGTTATATAGGCAATTTTGGTTAACTTATTTACATATTCTGTTATCCTTTTGCCAAGTTCACAAAAATATCGAGGAATCGCTTTCGTTATTGTAATTTTTTGTAAATTTTAGAACATTCGCTTGTCATGTTATGTAAAGGATCTTTACCCCGGAACACCCGATTTTTTCTTTAGTAGCGCAAATGCGCATGCGCTATCAAGCCGTAGATCACGATGGCGTGACGATATGCAAGGAAGGAGTGACAGTGTAGTTTTCAGATGTATAAACATTTCAGACGTGAATATTGAGTAAATCTTTGAAAATCTACGCAAAATATAAATTGATCTTATGCATTACGGGCGTTCAGTTAAGTTCCGATAATATTTAGACGGTATATTCATTATACAGAGCTAGGAAGGAGTTAGACCGCCTAGACAGTGCAGTCAAGTGTATAAACATTTCAGACGTAAATATTGTTAATATATTGAGTCGAAAATCTTTGAGATTCTAGGCATTCAATTGAGTGCCGATATTATTTTCACGGCATACTCATTATACAGAGGTACAGTACGTAGGCAGAAACGAGACAGTGTTGTTTTCAAGTATATAAACATTTCAGACATGAATATTGAGAAAATCTTTGAGATTCTACGCAATAATACAATATATAAATTTATGTTATGCATTACCGGCATCAATTAATATGTAAGTGCCCATCGATATTATTTAGACCGTGTATTCATTATACATTGTCATTGACTGTATAAGGTGCTACATCACAGAATAGATGGCTACACTCAGTACAAAGAGCGAAAAATTGCATCAGATCTGTACCAGATCAATAAAGCATAAACAACTATTAAACGGGTAAACGTTTGTACGGCGTTTACGAGGAAAATAACTTGCGAGACTAAAGAAATCAGTTGAGTCAGAGCTCCTTATTTAAATAAGAAAGACGAGGAGATAGCCAATGTGTTATCGCCAACGTGTTATCGCCAATCGCTTGGCTCGCCAACAAGCTTTATGCAATAGAAGAAAAAAGCAAGGAGGTACATGTAGCCAACGTGTACTGTCACGGACCTTCTCTTTGTTTACTGTCTAGCACAACGCCGTTGTCAACGGTGCAAACTCGTGTTCAGTGCAACGATAACTCTACCAGATCTTACGAGAATCAATCTGTAGTATTCTGTACACAGAACTGTATCAAAGCTTGTCAAACCTGCTTTAATTTAAACACTGCTTAACTGTGAAACTATTGAAATCTAAAGTGACATTAATGTATTCAACACATGCGAAAAGCTGAAAATAGACGTGACACTGGGAAAAGTCAAAGGTCAATGAGACTTGTTATTGTGAAACATGTCACAATTAGGTTAAAATGCGGAAGCGGATGGAGCGGATCCACGGAACGAATATGCGGACAAAATACGGAACGGATGAGGATAAAATGCGTCCTTTTAATGATGTAACGACGTAGTGCTTATTATTCATAACATATCTTATACAGCTATTTCAATTATAGTTTTAGATAAATTTAGCATAGCAGTAGCCTCGTGGGGATGCTTTTAGCGACAGCTGCAAATGCAAATGAAAATTTAGAATATGCAAAATTTGGTTGTTGGTGAAACAATTTAAATTTCGAATTGTCGCGTGTAGCATCACAATAAATAGATAAATAGCATCAGTTTCACAAGGCAGGTTTCTGATGTGTTAGGCTTGTTTCAAACGTCACGCTACTCGTGTGCCGAGCGTATTAAAAGCAATAAATAATGAGATGAAATGCCTTTGGTAACTGTTTATTTCGTAGTGTAAGCCATCAGCTTTTCTAGGTTGTGGGCGACCCTATATAGTTCTTGCAGTGTCTTTTTCAATTTGAAACTTCACACTATCCTTGGATCCCTAGTTCTCATATAAAATAGTGCCTGAATTTCACGTATTTTCACTCCCGAACTTACTTCGTATTTGTATATAAATAAAATACATATAAGCCCAAGGAGAAACTTGTTATTAAAAATAAAACGCTATTTTTTTTAAGAAAGCTCATCGATTCAAGCACAAAATAAAAATGTGAGGATATTAGAAAAGGCAAGCAAAAGTTTTGAAAGGTAAATTCCATTTTTCTTGTGTTTTATCTCATAGAAAATAGCGCATGAATTTCACGTATTTTTATTCGCGAAATGATAAAATATATGAATGTACGGTACTTCAAAGAGAAACTCGTAAAACTTAAATACTTTTAACAAACTTTGAATAGTTTGAATGGAAAACAATCCAAAAATAAGGAAAGAAGCTTGGTCCAGGAGAAAGTGCTTGATTTGGTAAATGAAATTGCTATATCTTTTATTAATTTTAAAATATTTGTTATAATAATCTGCAAACTTGTGTTTGTTTTATTAATAAAGCGAGAACAATGGCAGAATCCTGTTATGTTAAACTGCATGTGCAAAATTTATATTAAATATACGCAAGGACAAGTTGCATGAGCAAAGCCTGTCTATTCAGCCTAGCTATTTTATGTTATGTATATGAACTAAACTTGATTGCCGGCATTTTACAATAGCTTTATGCCTATATTTCAAAAACAACTGTACCGGCTATACGCCGCCAACGATGGACTCACTCTATCTCGAAAATATTGCACGCTCGGAAATCAGTTTATTTACGGATTCAGGCCACACAGAAATTTGTATTTCAAACATCAGATGGCTATTAAACATTTATGCTGTACTTATGAGATTGTTTTAAAACTCACTTACCGAGTAAAATGGCGATTGATTGCAGACTGGAGTGTCTGACAAATATTCCTTTTTCCGAGCGACCAAGTTGAAACCATGCAACTGTATAACCATTCCAAAGGCAAAATCCAAATGTTTATTATTATTACAGTAAATGTGTTTCAATGTCCACACAAGTGTTTTTAAAACGATGCATGATTTCTTAAAACGCTCTGTTTGTGAAAGCAAATCCATTTTCATCCAGACTGAGGTCCACTGAAAAGCAATTCGATCCCAGCCATGTAGGCAAAGCAAGTACATATTCTTTTTCAAATGACACCAATAAGTAAAAGACTGATTTTTAAATCAGTCTTTTACTTATTGGTGTCATTTGAAAAAGAATATGTACTTGCTTTGCCTACATGGCTGGGATCGAATTGCTTTTCAGTGGACCTCAGTCTGGATGAAAATGGATTTGCTTTCACAAAAACAGCATGGTTGCAGGAATCGATTTGACCAGTCCCAGAAGATCAGCTGGTTTGATTTTCAGGGACTAATGTAAGGTTAATTTCTTGTCGGAAAACTCCTCAAAATGCTGGAAATAGCTTATCTGAGCTTCAAGAAATCCAACTTTTTCGGGGGGCATGCCCCCCATGAGCCTATACAATAAAATTCTATGTTTAGGCTTTTCGTGACCATTACATTCAGATGGGAAATTGGCGATGAAAATTTTAGATGCCATGCAATGAAGTTGTGTTATAATCATTTATGCATAAAGTTCTAATTACTTTTGCCGCACCTACCCCTCCCCGCAAGCTGGCAGCATCACATGATAACCCACGTGACTGTAAAATAACATTCTAACATTAACTGTCAATCACGGCGTGAGCTTCTTTTTTGAGTTTTTTTTATGGTTGTTTGCGATCGTTTTAAGCAATGCATGAAGCTATAGAAAACTCAACGTTAACTATAATTAAAGAATCTAAACAGTATAAGCTATTGAAAAAAAATGCTGCGAAAGAGAGTGGCAAAAACAAATCGTACATGGTTATGGGTAAGAAAAAAATATCTTGCAAATAACTATCACAGAAAAAAAATTCCCTGCCAGCAGCAAATCACTCCCCCCCTCCTCAAAAGTTAAATGGTCGGCCCCTAATTACTTTTGCCGCACCTACCCCTCCCTGTAAGCCGGCAGCATCACATGATAGCCCACGTGACTGTAAAATAACATTCTAACATTAACTGTCAATCACGGCGTGTGCTTCTTTTTCGAGTTTTTTTTTTATGGTTGCGATCGTTTTAGTTGGATTTAAGCAAAAGTACATCTTCTCAAGAATCCCTTCTCACTTACCGAGTAAAATGGCGATTGATTGCAGACTGATCTTCTGGGACTGGTCAAATCGATTCCTGCAACCATGCTGTTTTGCAACTGATAGTTAAATGGTCGGCCTCTTGGAACTTTATACATAAATGATTGTAACAAAATTTCATTGCATGGCATCTAAAATTTTCATCGCCAATTTCCCATCGGAATGTAATGGTCACGAAAAGCCTAAACATAGAATTTTATTTTATAGGCTGATTATTATGACGAATAATGTGGACTAAGGGGCAGGAAGATGCATTGAAGGCGGCTAAGACTGGACATAACCTTTGTATATTTGGGAAGTCAGGTGGGTACTACCAAGTAAAGTATTATTACGTACATGGTGGGGACATAGTTATGCTTAGAACGTGCACAATTGAAAATAATTTTTGGATTATATATTTTTTCTTTTCCTACAACAGGATGCGGAAAGTCAACCATTATAAAAGAAATTAATAAGACCCTTACGCAAACCGGGAGAGTATGCAAGATTGTGTGTCCAAGTGGGGTAGCTTGCAAGGTTTACGATGAATTGGCAGCGACTGTCCACTCCTTTTATGGCCTGCAAACTGCAGAATTACCAGCGCCAGATACAGTCTGTGGACGTTTTAGTTTGGGATGAGATTTCGATGTCAAGTTTATGGATTTTCCACATCTGCTACATCAGAAAGTTCGGAACAATTCACTTCCCTTTGGTGGGATACAGGTGATACTAGGAGGCGACTTTTGTCAGCTAAAGCCGATGCAAAGTTTGTTAGACCCTGGAGATCCAATCTATAAATCTGTTCTTTTTGGCACGGTTTTCCCGCATAGAATTGTTTTGGAAAAGATTATGAGGCAAAGTGAGTTTGAAGGGGATTTTAAGAAAGCTTTGGACAGTTTACGAATGGGGGTATGTGATGTTGACACGGAAGCATATCTTCGTGGTTTGTCAAGACGCTGTGTTGATATTGGAGACAACGTACCACCGCCTATCCATATCTTTTTCAAGAAGTTACCTGTAGAAGGGCACAATTCCTATATGTTATCTTGTCTCTCAGGAGAAATGTTGAAGTACGAAAGTATTGACACAGGACGGACTGGCCTCTTGAAAAACACTGTCCCTAAGGTTTTAATGCTGAAATGTGGTTGTAAGGTAATGCTTTTATTCAACATTTCGAAATCGTTAACCAATGGAACTTTGGGCACGTTCATTGATGCAGGTCAAACAGACAGTAAGAACGAAAGTCTCCTGATCAAATTTCCCAACGTTGGAGTGGTTTCCATTCCTCGGAAAACTTGGTACGCATACAGGAAAGATGGGCAAGTTCAAGCATCTCGGACACAGTTTCCCTTGAGCCTCTCATATGCCATCACCGTGCACAAAGCACCGTGCACAAAGCACAGAGCACTACGCTGGAAAGTGCTGTCATCCATTGCAGCCAGGAGTTTGACGCTGGTCAAACGTATGTAGCGTTGTTGAGAGTCCGCAGAAAGGCTTCAAGTTATCGGCTTCCAGAAACGATTTTTGCTAAAGCAACCGGCACATATCGAGCAAATTCACAGCGCGCAGCATGGTGATCCTGTCTCGTCATTCACATGTTGTAGAAATAAAGTACTGGAGAGTACCAATTGTGAGTTGGATCGTGAAGAAGACCCATCACTGATTAACGATGAAAATTCAATTCAGGTTGATGAAGACCTGCTAAACCACGAAGAACTGATTTTAAAATATTTTGCATCAAACCAAGGTGTGAAACAAAACTTTAATCAAATTCTCCAACGTATGACCAACGCCGAAGAAGATCAGGAACCTCAATATCGTCCATTGACCCAACCACCAGATGATTTCGTTGTGAAAAATTTCTTGGAGACATTGACAAAGGATGAAAACGTGGATACATTAAGTCAATCCACCAAAGAAGCCGCACAATATGGAATCGCAAATCTGGAAATATTTGAACTGTTAACTAGAGTTCTTTGGTGCAGGGTGATTCATCTTTTCGAAGGTTATCTGTCAGAGAATGCAAAGGAAGTGCACATGTCGGCTGCAAATTTCACACAAGTTACAAGAAAGTTAACGTTGAACGAATTGTTTCTAACGAACGAATACAGAAGTGACATAATGACGGCGTTTAACCTCAGGAATTGGTCAGAACTCACTTGTGGTCAGTGAATTTTGGGAGCACAACTTCTGTTTCATTTGTACCAGATGTGTGTTGCTGAAATCAGCAAATCTGTTCCGTTGAATGAGGAAGAAGAGTCGCACGCCCTGAAAGTATCAGACATGGGTCCGGATGGAAGGGGGAAAATTCGGTATCTTGGCGGATGGGCAACGCATAAGTTGTTGGAAAAGTCCCGAAGATATGTCGTGGAAAACAGATATTCCACGTCACGAGAAGTCCTTGATAAGGTCATCAAAGAAATGAAGAAGATCACTCTGTTAGAGGATAACGTCGTTGTTTCGAGTCAGTTCATGCAGGAAACCTCAGAAGTTCCAGAAATCCTACAAGTTACTGAATCAAGACAATACCGAGAACGTGGGCTACTCAACATATCTGACTCAGCGTATGAGTTTTTCCTACTCTTGGAACAACATAGGAACGACCACATCAATTTCAATCGACTTGCTCAGCTTGGATCCGACTTGATTGATGATTCTGTCGCCTCAGTTACCAGGAACGAAGTTGTACAAAATATGTTTCTGAATCTTTTCTGGTTAGATAATGCAGAAGAAAGGGTAGGTACAGAATCATAACAGATGTTTACAATTTTATACATAACACAATGTTCCTAAGAACAGTGCACATGACAAGGCATTTTTTAATACCATGGACTGGTGGGGCATTTGCCCCACTGGGCCCCTTCCTCTGTCCCACCACTGAAGAAAAATAATGGCCTATTGCCCCAAAGTCAGGGCCCTAGGATCTGTATTGAGTTAATGAATTTAACATTGAAAAGAAGTTTAAAAAACAAAATTTGTTGGTGCGCATACTTAAACTTATGTTGTGTTTGAATGTTTATAGCATGTAATTTATTACAAATGCTATTTCAGAGACTCCAATTTTAACAACTTCCTGGGAGCATGCCCCCAGACATCCTAGCTGACTTGTGCCTTCGGTACTCGGCTCACACCTTCGGCGATCGCAACTATTCAGAGGGGAGGGCAAGGAGAGAATGGGCCCCTTGGCAGTTTAATTAGCCCCACCACTGACGAATCCTTAAAAATGCACTGGCACGTGAATTCAATGATCATAAGAATTGGTAAATGGCATAGTACAAAACATGGACTGGACTGGACTGGACAGTTGGACTGGACTGGACAGTTGGACTGGACTGATTTTTACATTTTCTCTATTTTTGACTTGCACAAAAGAATATTTCATCACAGAATAGATATACCATGTCAAGTCTATTTTGTGATTTTATCAATGAACATTGTCCAACCCTCGAAATTCAACTATTTTTGCCTCGGCAAATAATTGCCGAGGTCTTTCGATAATTTAATTGCCGAGGCACGCAATGAAATCACCTTAAATTCCTTTGGCAATTACTTCGGCACCCTTCGGCATTCACGTCGGCAGTTGTAATTAAAGTAGCCTACATACGGAAATTATTGTAAACAAATATTATAACGAGCATAGATTCTGACGTTTTACAATTTGTTGATTACAAATTCCTGATTCAAAATGTTTTTATGGAAGAATAAACTTGACGGTAATCACGCGACAGTCCAAAAGATAAAACAAAGTTTCTCGACGTGCCGTCTTTAAACCATCAAGTATTCAAGATTATTCTTTATTTCAGCCGAAGCACATGCTGAAAAGCTCAAAGTTTGAATATTTTGTAAAGTAGTTTTTTTAGGAATGAAATCTTCTGTTGTTCACCCGACGTCGATGACAACAATTCGAACAAAGAAGTGATACAAAAAACGAACACTGTAGTTTGTAAACTTAAGTAAAAACACTTAGCGAAACAAAGCCTAGTAAGTAGAATACAATAGCAAACAAAAACTACTTATTTACGGAGACTTTGGGAAAGCAGTGTGTTTTGTAGACCCTCGACCGTCGATGTTTCCCGGCTCGGCTTCGCCTCGGGAAACATTGTGACAGTCTCGGGTCCACAAAACACACTGTTTCCCTCGGTCTCAGTAAATAAGTGATAAATATTTCAGTCTGCATAGCCATAGGAAGATCGATAATTAAGGGGGGGCTCATATTCATGTATTCATGTTCGCAGACCGTAAAAACAATCAATTTCATAAGAAGTGAATAATGCAAAACACGAATATATGAATATGAGCTCCGCAATTATCGATCTTCCTACGCCTGTGTCAGTTTGCGAGCAGTCAACCATATATCATTGTGGCTATAATAATATTGGAAAATAAACTAATGGTAATACATATGGGGCCAGTTGCTCAAAGGTGGGTTAGCGCTAACGCTGGGTTAAATTTTGACCTGCTGTTTTGGTTTGTATCTTTCTGCACGTACGTTTATTTCACAACTTCAGAGAAGTAAACTCCTATCGATCCAGACAAGATCTCTGAAGAAATATTTCCAAATTTATAGACAAGCTGTCAGGAAGTTTCCTTTGAATTTTACGTTTTAGACATTTTTACATCAAACAGCAGTTTAAATTACAAATCATTGTGTCGCTTGCATTCATAAGCAGAATGTAATATTTATCAATTCAAATATATTATTATATTGTTTGTTTAACTAGAATAAATGTTACCAGAGATTTTCCAGGCGGAAAACGAATTCTTATGATAAATATGAGAGCCCAACATATAACTTTTAACAAAGCCATTAAAACAGTTAAGATTCTACAATAAAAATTCTTTAAAATCTTAACTGTTTTAATGGCTTTGTTAAAAGTTATATGTTGGGCTCTCGTATTTATCATTAGACTAAATGTGACATATTTTGACAAGCATGTCTATTGGACTAACACTGCACCCGCCTGTTTAATTTCATGGCCATTAACCACGCCCAATCTAACACCCACTTCTAAGATTAGCAAAAACTGCATATATATAACTGAAAGAATTAATCACAAACAACAAGAGCTATAATTACAAATAAACAAAAAGCACTTTTATTTTTGTTAATTATTTTTGCAATCTCATATAAAGGGTATATTAAAAAGGTAATCAAATGCGTTGGATCGGTTGAGTTTATAATCAGTACAGAAAATTTAATTGTCCATGAAAAAATCAGCGAAGTGGAAATATGTGAACAAAAATTAACCTTGTTGTGATGAAATTATTTACAGTAATTGTTTGAAGTAAACTACCTTTTTTATACCCTGTATTATTCATGTATTAAATCCTTAATGTTATGTAACCAGTCTGCAGCTTCTGCGTCCATAAGGCAATATAAATTGTAAATTAAAAGACATGTCAAGTCAGTGACAAATTGAATAAATTTCAACCTTTGTGCTTTACTTCTAGCTTGCAGCTTTCCCGACTATGCCATACTGTCAGTGTTAACGTATTAAGTATCAACAAACGATAACAGTCAATATCTTAACTTAAAAACTCAACAGTTTCTCGCATAAGAAATTGATAAATTTCAACCTCCGCATCGTGCTCTTTCTAGCAGTATATATACACGTCAACTTGTTAACTCTTACAGGGAAATGGCAATATTTTTTTAATTTCTCATTTGAAAAAACATTTAGGAAAGCACATAATACTCTTTTACTGTTTTTTCATATCTTGCTTTATTTTACAAATACTTTGGTCGAAAGGAATGAAATGTTCGCCATCTTCATTTTTTGTAAATATGCATGTCACGTCACAACAGCCAACAGGGGTCACACAATATTTTTATCTAGGCAACCACTAATTACTATTTTGGCTCAAAACTATACACTCTGTCTGCCCTTCGAAATATCAAGATCACTCAATACCTTTAAAACGTCAACCAATCAATATTCGGTCAGCAACGAATACTTTTATATGGTTAATCCCTGTTGTGATGACAGTGATGTCACCAAAACTACCATTAATGAGATCAAAAATTTGTCCAAGATGGCTTATCTCATTACTTCAAGTGAAAATGTTTCAAGAACTAAGCACAATATGAAAAATCGGTAAAAGAAGTTAATATATAGTTTCAAAAGTTCTTTCAAATGAGAAAATAAAAATTTATATTGCTATTTCCCTTTAAGCCAGTATTTCATAAGTTTCGAAGAACTTGACACGACATCAGTGAAGTCTTAAACTGATGTAGAAAGTTTGTTAACTAAGTGTTGTCAGTGGACAATACTCAAATGTGAGTGAATATGTTGTGGAATCTGTAAAAAGCTTGGTAGAAAGTGTGGTAGCTTCTTTCGTAAACATTGTAGGTTGGCGTGGAAGTAGGTGTTACTGAATTCACTGCTTACTTGTGCTTGTCCAGCTTTCGTATATTCCCGGCAAAGCTTTGTTACAATCACCAAATCGCTCAGTGGAATATTAGCGAGACCCTCGATTTTGATGGGACATCCATAACCATAACATTTGGAAACTCTTGGATCGCAAAACTTTAATAGATACACGACAAAGATACCAGGCGGTGGATTAGGTTTTGGAGTATCTTGAATGGCAAGCAAGATTGTGGTAGCTCTTGTTGAGTAGGAATCATTGTTATCATAGTTGTTGCTGTAGGATTATTTGATTGAACACTACGTGTTGGCATATGTTGCAATGATGATACCGAAGGACAACTGTTTGCAGGTAAAGGTTGTTGATGAGAAGATGCAGGGGTGCCAGTAATGGCTCGTGCTGGTTGAAAATGGTGGAGTTGGGAAGGCATGTTCGAGCCGACCGTTGAATTCGTATTTGATACGTTTGCTGCTACAATTGTCATGGTCGTGGCTGTTGCTGCAGGATTATTTGACTGAAACTGTGTTGTTATTGGAAGCAATACTTGTGTCGCGGAGCAAGGGTTTTGCGACAAAAGTGGTTGTTGAGTAGCAGCTGCAGAGTTACCGGCAATACTTTCAGTTGGTTGAAAATAGTGGAGGCCAGCTGTCGAATTCGTACTTGACACGTATGTTTCTACGATTGGCTTTTTTGGGGCATTGGCGGGACCTTTTCGTTTTTGCGTCGCTTTATTCGCTTTCTTTCCCCTACCTTTGGGCATGTCCATGTTAGCTAGAGACGTCATATTGGGCCTCACAGAACCGGCGTTAAATACGTTAAGAAACTCTTGCAGCTCCTTATTGTGTTCCGCGACTGCAACAACAGGTGAACACCAGAATATCGAAGACAGTGTTTGTCACATTCACATAAGCTACCGCCAGTCGCGTTTCTTGCAGACACACGTTTAACACAGAACGGTTTGCTCTGGTCTGACGTATTGGTAACGTAGAACTTGCATCAGAAGAACCTGGTGTGGAGACGATACTGTTATTAGCAGACAGCAATCGAGCACCACTTCTAAAAATTTCTTTAACAATTGGGTATGGGACGGATAGAATTGTGCTATTTTCTGGCAAAACGCTTAACAATGTTCTATCTTCGTTACGGCTTTCAGCATCAAGTAGGCCGCTGAGCGAAGTGGGACGTACGTCAGCATTAAAAAACTTGGAGTGTGCGGCCCTCTTTTGATCTTCACTCTTTCGGAAAAATTTTACATCTTCGCAACACAAGTCGCTGTATTCTTCCGAAACCTTTAATTCTCCACGACCAATCATCGCAAGTTCTTCTTGCGATCTTTGACGCATTTGCAAGTAGCGACAATGGTTGATGAATTCACCAATGGTCATTCTCTTCTTATCTTTAGGTGTATCTCGCTTCAGCACGGAATTTATGCACTCGTTCGCATTTTGATTATACACGTCTGGCGGAAACCCGAGACCTGCCATTGAACGAATGTCCTGTGTCATCGTTTCCTTTATGAGATCTAATTTATTTTTTTCAAAGTAGGAGGCAAACTCTTTTCCGCACGTATGCCTAGTTACCCATAATTCTTTTAAATTTCGGTAGCTTTCCATCAGCTCGTTAGCAGAAGAGCAGTCAACAAGACCTTTCAGTTGCTGGTTTTCCAAACGTCTTCCAAATATGTCTGTCATATATTGATTAATGACGTCTTTGGGCATGTTGAGATTCGAAAGCTTCGCCCTCACATTGTCTTCCATGTGAATATCACACAGCAGATGAACAGCGGACGAAAATCCAATATTAAGGGCATCTTTTAATGGTTTTTCACCGTCAGAGCCGGTAACTAAAACTCCTGAAAGACGTGGGTTGTGTTTTATCATGGAAAAAGGTAAATTTACGTACGAAGCAAGGGTTTTACGTTGATGTATTAAAACTGGACCAATTCTAACTGGATTAATGCCTTTATCCGTTTTCAAGAGAAGATGGCGATAGGTAGAAACAGTGAGGTTGTAATCTCCGAAGTTAAAAGTCGGGTCTACACCAAGAACAGAAAATGATTCAGGATTACAACAAAAACGTTCTACGTCCTTCAGTTGTTGGTCAGATGCTAACAAAATGCAAAACTCAGGCGCTGCGATAACCTCTCGAACAAACTTATTCTTGTCTTTGATTCCTGACTTGCAGCTATCTATTGCTTCCAGAAGCGGGTCACTTGTACTTCCATGACTGGCAGTGCTGGTACTACTTCCACTCGCACGATAATGCTTTGCTTGCCGGACGTTTCGTGCAATCTCGCCCGAAGACTTAACATTGCTTAAACCACCGGCTTCTTCCAGGTCAATAAAAATGGTAGCAGAAGGTTTTGAGTTGTGGGTAATCGTCTTTAACCTCTCTTTTGTTGTTTCCATGGTTCTATAGTATGGCGCTGACGTTTTCTTGCTGTTGCCGTGAGGATCAACATGCACTTCATGTTCATCTCCGTCAAACTTATATTGAACGTACACTAGCGAGTGGAGGGTTTTTGTCTTCAATTCTAAAATAGAAAGCAACGAAACAAGTAAAATACTTGTATGTGTGATTATTTTTCATAATGATTAATAAAAGCAATAGGGAACTGCATGATTAGTCAAAAATAATTTTTAGATGCCCTTTCATTTTCATTAGTGCCCTTTTGTTAAGGAATATGCCCTCTTGTTAACCAATTGCACCCCTTGCCCTCAGCAACTTCCGGCATCCCTGGTGACCCGAGTAAGAACGAGAAGTCAAGGTTTTTTGTATACGCCTGACTTTACGCCACTGCTAGGATTATTCTATCAAATTATTATTTTACCATCAAATTACTCGGGTAAGAAAAGTCGAAAACAGGTCAAATCGGGTTTGTAGTTCGAAGACCAAATTCACGGGCCGAAGGTGTTATAAACAAAACTGGGCCCCAGTGCTTCCATTTTCAAGGAAAATTTCTTTTCTAAGGAAAATTTCTTTTCTAAGGAAATTTTATTGTCAAAAAGGAAAATCTAAGGAAGAGAAAAAATCTAAGGAAGAGCTTCCTAGGGCACTGCATTCTTCTGTAATATGTCTTTGCGTAAACAATGTGCATTTTTGTTTGTAAATTGCATCTTCATTTTCCGGATAGCAAACGCCTTCGTGGCTTCGTATGCCATGAAATAGTCGGAAATTGTTTTCGACATTCGGAAATTTTTGGCCTGCACCCCCCCCCCCCAACTATACATACTAGCTATGGCCCTGAGTATAATAGCCTGTTGTTTTTTAACTAGTCCACATGTGTTTTAATTGTGCTACTTTATTGTATTTCTACAAAATCAGTGCAAACTGCTTGATGAAATTTTAAGAAAATAACATATACAATCTAAGGAATTTAGAGAAATTTTGATGACAAAAATGAGAAATTTTGATTTTGAAGATGGAAGCACTGTTGTATATATTGTTGTTGTTTTTATTAATAGCCTGCTGGCAGGGCTATGAGCCAATTGATCGCTTAAACCAAGGCACTTTCGTTTATTTTGGCTGGGGAAGCAAGTTTCAGACCTTTACCTGACATATGACAGACAATGCGAGAAAGATCTTTAGAACTGTTATTTCGGTAATACCACTTCACAACCTTATAGACATTCTCCTCGCCTTGGCGAAAATTTGTTACCACCTTGAAATCACCAGAATTGTACTTGTAATTGACGGTTTTGGTTCCAGTTTGATTCCATGCTCCCATGTCATCTGACAGCAAGTTCTTGACATGGCCAACAAATTTGGAGGAGACATCCACCACAAAAGCAACATTATGACTCACACATGTGGGCACCACTTTTGAAACACACTTGTCATTGACATCTAAAGTTTTTAGGCTGGAGATGATTTCCTTTGTGGATAACCCATATGTTAATCCCTTTCTGAACACTGGCAAGTTGTCATTATCCTGATAGTATTGTTGTGACTCATCTGCTGTAGACAATTCTTCAGACAATTCATCTTCACTGATGTCAAGAGGAAGTGCTGAGTATGGTGAATCAGGGTCTTGCTATATGTATATATAAATCAAAAAAGTATATAGTAACATTAAATAATAATACACGTCCACACAACTGGTTGTATGAAGACTTTTTTTTTAAAAAAAGTACTACCTAAAAGTACAACAATCTCTTGGTTGTAACTTGTAAAGTTAAGCAAGCATAAAAATATCTTCTTGATGTTTTGAACAGAGCAGAGGCCCTTCTTCACGGAGAAGTGGTAGTAGAAAGACATGCACAAAAAACTACAAAGGCAGTCACATGAAACAAAATAAGCCAATCAAATTAACACTTTAAGTGGCAATGCACCCTACTTTTGTATTTTACTCTGTCTAATGCCAGACGATTTTACTTGTCAAGTGGAGAGTGCTACGTACCACTCAGTGGGTTAAAATAGTCATAGCAAAATCAAATGTACAAGCCATGAAAATATATAGTGCTAAAGAAGGGGGTGGGGGTGGGGGGTGATATTGGGGTCAAATGCAATGAATATATGATAAGGCAATAGTGATGACGGTGTAAGTGCTGTGGTGTTACCTACAGTGTAATTTAAGTAAACCAGCCTTCATGCAATATTCAATAAAACATTTAGTAAAAGTGACGAGGGCAATTTGTGAAACTTTTGAACCTTAATTTTATAACGACCCATGCGATTATATGTTAATTATGTTAATAATTATAGAGGGTCAAATTTTCTTATAAATACATTTGTATACATCAGTATACAAGCAATGCAAGTAATTTGCCCTTAATAAAAAAATAATGCCCTCGTGATTAACCAATCATATTCGAGTATTTTTGCCCTCTATATTATTATTAATATTTTAATTATAATGATTAATTTAATTGCATGTTGCAAATTGTCCATTGATATCTGCAAATACTTCCATGCATGTATAAATCACCTTAACTATGGAAATATTTTCGTCTTCGTTTTCATCTTCCTCAAAAGGATTAGATATACTGGGACAGCGCCTATTAAATTTAGAATGTATATAAGTGATGATTTCGTGATTTTATGTCTTACAGTATATCCATGGTTGTTTATATCGAGTATTAACAGTATAAAATAAAATGCACAAAGAACACAATAGAATGTAGACATTAAAACTACCTAAACTGAATAATTCGCTTATTATTAATACTACATTAAATTAAATATCAGTTGACAAATATTGATTCAAATATAAAGCTGCGGCCACACAAACCGTTTTCGTAGGCAAGGGAATAGAGAACAATTGAATTTATATTAAAACACCTGAAACAATGATCAATACGAAAACGCTGCGAAAATGGGTTAGTGTGGACATAGCCTAATACTAAATTGGAGAAATAAACATGATTCATATTGAAAAGCACATGCAATTTAGACAATAGTAATTAGACATTTTACAGTATATTCTATCATTCTTGAGCCAGAAACGAACCTTTTCGGCATCACTGGATTTTCGTCTGATTCTTCTAAATTGCTGCTGAGTTCAATTACATCGATCTCCGACATTTTTAATTTTTAACACGAAACGATATTTTCAAACATTTGGAATAAGCTACTTACGTGCATACTTCAGTGAGTACTTTTCAAAAATTATAGAACTATTAATTAGGTTGCTAATTTTATTATCCAATCAGGTGCGTAGTTTCAAATAAACTACCTCATCTCAACTGCCAAATTAAATTTGTATATACAAAAATTTACAAATGTAGAATATGGAACAAATATTTGCTTGGCGGGCCGCGATGTCTGCAAACTATCAACTATATGTATACTTTAAATATTTGCTATACTCCTGATTATATCCTGATTATAATATATGATTCTCCTGAGTATATTCACTGGAAAGTAGGCGCTTTTCCAAGACTTTCAACTCTTGACAGCATCGGAGGAATTATTTTTAAAAACGCATGATCGCCATCGGCGCCGAAAATAAAAAAGTAATTTAGGATTTCAGGTGCCGCAAAACGCGGTAGCTATACACATCAGACAATGTTCATTGATAAAATCACAAAATAGACATGACATGGTATATCTATTCTGTGATAAAATATTCTTTTGTGCCATGCCAACTGACGATCGACATGGCGGCTGACGTGCAAGTCAAAAATAGAGAAAATGCAAAAATCAGTCCAGTCCAACTGTCCAGTCCAGTCCCAACTGTCCAGTCCAGTCCAGTCCAACTGTCCAGTCCAGTCCATGTTTTGTACTATGCCTTGGTAAATACATTATTGAGAAAAATGATCGATATTATATATATACATATATAGAAGGTTTGTTAAGAGAACGACAGATCAGAATAATACAATACTTAGACCAAACCGCCGGAGGACCTGAATTGCATTTTTCGCAATGTTCCCGGTTTGGTCTTAAATATTGTAATAACCTCTGTCCTGTGCCCTTTTCTCATACGCCGTGGTAGATGTTTTAAAGGCGACTGATGCGACTTTAAACACCCAAAACCATCTGAAACACGGAAGTGCAATATACCATGTCCTTTTCTGCATAAAAGAGGGTACTGTCTGAAGAAAGAGATGTGTGATTTTTCCCACGACAAATTGATACGTAAATCATCCCCCATGCCCTATCCAGGCAATTATGCTTCTCCTGATTTTTTATCACACCGATTCACCAACCCATTTCCGCCGTACCAGAATTATTATTACCGAGAACCTTGGAGAAATTTCCGCCCATTGAATCCTTTAATGGAAATTCCAACCCCTATATGGTCACAATATCCAAATCCCTATTCTCCAGCCATACAGCCCCCAATGAGTTACCCAAATCAGTACCCCTCACCCCTGATGACGAATTACACCAGACCGCCCAGGCGCTGACAGGTGACTACGATTCATCCAAGTTTGTTTGTCCCTTAACAATGGTACGCGAAATGTTCATAACGTAATCTCATCATGTAATCATAGTAAGATAACCTCCCACCGTCCATTTCATAAACGAAATCGTACTCGGAATAACAATAATCTCATTAAAATCTATCCCAATAAGAACCTGCATAACACAGGTGTTAACGCCTTGTAACAAAATAATCCATCTCATGTTCCCAAGGTGATGGTGACTAATGTGAGGTCATAGTTCCAAAACAAGACGAAGTACAAGAATTCCTAATTCGGAATGATATTAATTTTGCGTTTATTACCGAGACATGGTTAAAAGATTAATTGCAGAAAGCATAATTAACATTCCTGGTTACACTGTATTTTGCAGAGATAGGAAAAATGATGATCATGGTGGTGTATGTGCTTATATTCGAACTGAAAAATGTAATTACAGATGAATGGACGAATTAAATTGCTGTGAGAACACGAGATCTTGTGGCTTTACTTACGACCTTACCGCTTACCTCGGGGTTTCTCATGTATAATTGCAGGATTGGTGTACCACCCACCCAGCGGTAATGCAAGTTCGATCTGTGACCATCTGTTCAACTCACTCACAATGGCCGAATCCAAATACGCCAACTGTGGTATATTAGTTACTGGTGATTTTAACCACCTAAATATTAATCGTTTATTAAATCACTTTCGCCTTAAGCAAATATTAAAAGTACACACGAGGAAAGATGCTATTTTAGACCTCATGTTAACGAATATGCATATGTACTTTTGTGCACCGAAAGCATATGCACCTTTCGGTCTGTCTGACCATAACACTATTGTCGCAGAGCCTAATGTCATAGTGCCAAAAGGCAACAATAAGAAAGTAATAATAAGACGGGACTATCGGGCAAGTCGTAAAGCTGAAATGGGAAGATATTTGAGCCTCTTTGATTGGTCACAGTTGTTTGCTCCCTTGGATAGTAGTGAGGAAAAGTGGTTGGTTTTCCATGAAGTGTCGTAAATTGCCTCCTGTTGTGTTTACGACAATTCACAGTTTTATAAACACAGGTTTAGTTAACAATCTCTTTCCTTTTTTACTAGTTTAATATCTCGCCCTATATAACAATCTCCATTCGCACGCTCGCTCTCATCACTAATGTTTTTACAACATGTGTTCGTTTCACCGGAAGTGTTGGCGCATGCCGTATTTCCGGCTTCTAAACTGTTAATACTGTCTATATATTTATATATTGTTAATCTCCAACACACTCCCCCTATATAACTCAAATATTGAGATATATATGTTAACTATCGGAGATTCCCAAACAACAACAATAAGAATAAACCACCAATAGTTACTAAGAACGTCAATCAAGTTCATCCTCTTCAGCTTCGTCTTGAATCCGTAATCTCGCTACAGCCGCTGCAGTACGTCTTGGTCGAAACTCAGGAGCTTGGGCTCTCAATGCCGGTTTTGGTTTCTCACAATTGCACGAAAGTTCTAATGGATACAACTGCTGTACGGCTCTCTCAAGAATACCCTTTCCCGCTCGTAACTTCGCTCCTCTGACAATCCCGTCTTTGCCTGTGATAAGTTGCACGATAACTCCAAGTTGCCATTTCCCTCGATTCCGCTCATCATTCTTAATAATCGCAACGTCACCAATTTTCGGTGTAACCAACTTCGTGCCGTGTTTTAGGTTGTGTCTCTCACGTAGTGCTCTTAGGTATTCCTTGGTCCAACGACGCCAAACTGCATCCTTGCACCTTCGCAAATACTTTGCTCGTCTCCTTAGATCTGTATCTTCAATGTTGTGGGGCTCTAGTTGTGGGATAGTATTCGATTGTCCAAACAACATCGAGTTGGGTGTTAATGTAGGTTGTTGAACGTCGTCTTCGACATAATCAAGGGGCCGGTTGTTGAGGGTTACCTCGACATCTAGGATGACATCTTGTAGTTCTTTCCAAGATAAGTTTCCACCGCCAATGACTTTGTACATAGCTGATTTGACCAGTCCCACCAGTCGCTCGAACTGGCCGCCCCACCATGGGGCGCGACTAAGGTTAAACCGCCATTCGATCTCTTGCCTTGCCAAGTAGCCGTTCAATTTCTCGTCATTCATAACTTGTCTGAGCCAGGACGCTGCTCCCACAAAGGTTCCCCTGTTATCAGAATACACGAGTTTTGGTCGTCCCCTTCTTGCAATAAATGTTTTAAAGCTTTTCAAGAACTCGTCCGTCTCTAAGCTTGGTAGTAATTCCAAATACATTCCACGAGTCAGGCTGCATGTGTACAAGATCAAATAAGATTTCTTGAAAGTCTTTCGAGCTGTACAATATTTAAGTGGACCCGCAAAGTCAACTCCAATAACTTCAAACGCATTTTTCCTTCTGTTCTTGTTGTTGGTAGGATTCCAGGGGGCGGTACAGAATACGCCTTCGCTTGAGCCCGCTTACACCCGAAGCAACTCTTTCGAATACGCTTGACCAATCTTCTTAATCTGGGGATCCAGTAGCTGTTTCGGACGTGGGTCATGGTTAAGGTCACTCCCCCGTGGAGCGTTTGCAAGTGAGAATCTTCAACTACTTTCTCGGTAAAGGTATGGTTGTCAGGTAGGTATACAGGATAGACGCCCTGAATTCTTCCTCTACATTCTAGGATATGTTCATCGTTCTCTTGAAGATTCAGTTCCAGGCTTTCTTTAGCAAATACTGGTTGGTTTTTCGCTTCGTTCTGCACTCGTTTAATCCACCATTTCTTCACGATCTTTATCTCACTGGCGCGCAGAGGACCCAACTGTCGATCTCGAGGTTTTGCTTTGCAATTCAGTTGGACACGATTGATCCATGCACCGATTCGCAGGACCTTCCAAAGGTTGTGCTTCTTCAACAGATCATCGAATTGATCATCGACTCGTTCCACTGCTGCGTTAATGACCTCTTTCGTCATCTTCGTTTCTGCTTTGCTTCCAGGTGAAGATTTGATCACAATATCAGGGGGCCATTCTTCTCGGTTGGCGAGCCATTCCGGGCCGTTCCACCAAAGGTTGTGGTTTGTCACACTTCCGCCTCTGCTCCCAAGATCCGCAGGGTTATCTCCAGTTGGTACATGATGCCAAACAATTTCATTATACTCTTGGATTTTTCGAACTCTATTCGCCACGAACTGCTTGTAATCACCGCCGTTCTGAATCCAATACAAGGCCACGGTACTGTCTAACCACGCATGCAGTTCGTTTATTGGAAATCCCGATAAAGCATTCTTGACGTTGTTAAGGAGATTTGTTGCCATGTGTGCTGACGTCAGTTCGAGTCGTGGGATTGTAGTATTTCTTTTCGCCAGACGTGATTTCGCTGCTACAAGACCTTGACTGCTTCCAGATTGTTGATTCACAATTGCGTAAACTGCGGCCGCAACTCCATTTCCACTTGCATCTCCGAAGCTGTGTAAATCTACGTTTTCGATTGTCTCTTGATGTCGCACAATAGATCTGGGAAATTGTACGTCATTAGGGAGACCATCAAACCATTTCTTCCAGCGAATGTTTGGCTGACTTGGAACAGGCGCATCCCAGGCTGACCTCAGATCACAAACATCTCGATACACAAGCTTTCCAATTAGGGTTGTTGGAGAAACAAGGCCAAGTGGATCGTATATCTTCGCCAAACTAGTAAGGATACCTCGTTTTGTCACGTCACCATACTCTTGGGGATAAACTACCTTTAAGGTATCTTTCGCCTTGTCCCAAGGAAGACCGAGAATTTTGCTTTCGTTTGCCTTGACTCCAAGTTGTTGCTTAGCATAGGTACTTTCATCCGACTGCGCATTTACTTCCTTTGGTTGTAACTCATCTTCATTGGAATTCCACTTGTGGAGGGTGAATTTAGCATCTTCAAAAATTTCAATTGCACCGTCTCTTAATTCTTTCGCTTTCTCAACAGTAGTGGAACCCGAGATAAGGTCGTCAACATAAAGACTCTTCTTGATTTCAGCAACAGTATCGGGTTTTCTATCTTCCCACGATTGTAGATGGTACTCGATCACCCCTCCCAGCAAGAAGGGTGATGGCGCCAACCCGAACAAGGCTCGAGTAAATCTGAGGGTTTG